TAATTTTTTCGATGTTATCGTCATTAAAGGATGTGGATGCCCGACTCGCATGAGGCAAGTTTTCGATATCTTCTCGTCCTTCACTGGATAAGATAAATAGCTGAAGATTGTGCCCTCTCCTAAATCACAACGACCCACCTAGTCCAGGCATATTGATAAATTCCAATATACTGGTAGTGAGGCGATGTAATCCATATTTGGAAACATGTATCTAATGGTCTTTAAACTACCTCTGTTACACAGTCAATTAGCAAGTGTTCTGGAGTTTAAGGCTCCCTGTCGCTGAAACGACAATTTGCACAAGAAGCTAGACCCATTTAAACCTGCTGAGGTTAAAACTCCCCTTAGCAGCTTGTCTGGCGCATGCCTTGAAGTTGTGGGTTGTTACCAATACCTCTCTCTGCCTACTCCTTCCTCCTTGCGGGGCAGCTCCTTTTATGAGAACCCACTGTGATGGAGAGTTTAAGTCCAATCATTTTAGTGGTTGCTGCGGAGAGAGCGAGCCCATCAGCCAGTTCATTCCCGGCCAAGCCCATGTTATATAAGTCCTTCTTCAGCTGGCAGTGCCCAGTGTGGAATGCGACAAGTAGCCTATGTTTGTCTCTATGGAGATTAATTACATATTTAAACCTGCTGTGGTAATAACTCTCCATTAGCAACTTGGCATGGCGCATGCCTTGGAGTTGTTGGCAATACCTCTCTCTGTCTACTCTTTCCTCCTTGCGCAGCAGCTCCTTTATGGTATGACGACCCAAGGTAATGATACGTTTAGGTCCTAGAGATCATTCCCGGCTATACCTTTGTACGGACTTGGTTACGTTCCGCTATACTATTGAGCCGTTCTCTACATTCCTGCACCAATAGTGATTTGATCTCATAAGCAGAGATTGCTTTAAGCGCCAGTTGATTGCGATACTTGCGTTGCAGGTTTATCTCTACGCACCGACTTATAGCAAAGACTTCTGCTTGAAAAATGCTCCGAAACCTTCCGACTCCTGCACCAACTCCCTCTCAGCATACATACGAACCAGCATTTTTTCTTTTAAATACTGCATAAGTACATATCAACATAGTTCAATTTGCCTTAAAATTTCACTAAACTACTTTTCTTGCAGTGTTCAAACACTTTATTGCCGCAATTTACCGTACTTTGCAACATTCAGAGCAAACTTAATCCCCTCCACCCATTAGTCACTTACAATATAAGAATTGATATGATTTTCTACACTTGTTGTTGCTCATGATGTGTCATTGTCGCTTTTGATTAATGCAACTAAAATACATCTAAATGACTGAAGTGTGTATGTGTGTGTTAGCACATTACATCAACGAAGCTGGAACGCAATTCAGTGATTTATCTACTGTGCGCCTGACACTCATTAGTGTTAATATATTTGTTGTTGCTAGTTGGTGTCAAATTTGCATGAATTTTTGTGTGATAACAATGTTATTTAAAAGTAATTTAGATTATTTTTTATAATTTTTAACTGGAAGAGTTAGTGTATTTAGAGAACTTGTAAAATTTATGAAATTTATAATATATTTTGAAATTTGAAAACAAATGCAATAAACCGTACAGCTTTCATTTTTATCAGTTATGTGTTGTGCTCTGTAAATTTACTATTTTTAATACAGTCAAGGTCGTCAGCAGCATAATGTGCATAGGAGGCACAGCAAGATACCTATGTATTAGACAAGCACAGAAGATGCATATGCATGAATATGTGTGTACATGTAAGAAAGGGGCAGGATTACTAACTTTCGCTGTTATTTATGAGATTGTCGTCTGTCAACTTTTAGTTGCTTATCATATTCAAGTTCTAAGTAGATAGCATTAATTGAAATCGATCTTAACCTATTAGATATTATTATTTATATGAAATTCCAAGTTTTCTTGTAAACTCACTTCCTTTGCCGTCTGTTTTGTAAAATTATACTCCATCAGTACAGAACTTCCATACATCACCTTGGAATCACATACAAAATTTACACTTGCTCTACTTAAAAAAATATTTTTGTAACAACTTTGGTATTTTACTTCAAAACTTCAAATAAGAAAATCCAATGTGAAAAAATTCAACAAAATTAAATTTTTTAACTTCCGCTTCCTGAAATTCTTGAACAACGCATATTTTCAATCTATTACCGCGAACAATTTTTCGATTGGATTGTCACTTTTGACAGTTTGTTTTGTTGTAATTTTCGCGCAGAAGCAGAAAAGAGATAGGAAATTTCTGGCAAATCGGAAATTTTATAAAAGACAAGCGTGCTGAAAGTTAAACGTCAGTTTAAAACAGAAAACACAAGAACAAAGATTTTATAAAGCGAAAGGCACTCAGCCAATTTTACAAGTGATTTTTCAAGCGATAAAGAAAATCAGTGATATTTATTATTTAAAATATTTAATTAATTAAAACCAATTTGCAAAAATGGTACGACGTGGACGTTCGGCTAGCCCACCACCAGCAACCAGAAGGTAAGCGCAAATTGAAAAAATTTCCTTTTGTTCAGAAATTGTGGAGCTGTGACAATAACAACCGCATGGGTGCAAAGTGCAAAATCATGCGTCAAAGTGATTACCATTGCAACGTAAATAAATATATATAAAAACTGCACCGAGAATTACGTATAAAGGTTTATATTTATATACCATAAATAAGATGTTTGTCAAAATTCACATTACACGACATTACGTTGTTGCGTAACAGCTCGACAATTTTCTCGAACAATTTATGCACCTGACAAACGTCAAAAAGTGCTGCGTACGATAAAAAAAACTGAACAAAATAACAACGAATTTTCTATTCTTTATAAAAGGAGTGTGCCCACACATCATGCACCTGCTCCAACACCAAATGTGCCGGCACGCGTAGCTCCGGCAGCACCCCCAGCACCAGTACAAGCAGCACCCAGTGCTGTTGGCGCACCACAGCAGCCATCAATGTTCCAACAAATGGCAGCTACCGCTGGCGGTGTAGCTGTTGGTTCAGCAGTGGTAAGTTAATCGGAAATTAAATTGCATTCAACTCTAAACAACTTCCAAATAATTATGTATATAAAAAAAATTCTGTATTAAAAACTAAACTTCAACTCTAAACACATTCGCAAATAATTATATTAAAGAAAATTCTGTATTAAAAACTATTTTATAGGGTCACACTGTTGGTGCCGGTATTACTAGCTTGTTCAGCGGCTCTGGTGATAAGGAGGCTGCAGCTCCCGCTGCTGCAGCAGCTCCGCCTGCTCAACAGCAATATAATAGCAATGCTGCTCAGCCTAACGAGCCTCAAGGTGCATGCGCTTGGGAAATTAAACAATTCCTGCAATGCGCTCAAGGCCAATCTGACTTGACACTCTGCGAGGGCTTCAACGAAGCGCTACGACAGTGCAAGGTTCAACATCACTTGCAATAAATTGTGGGCCTTACATCAACAAACTTCAATTATTTAAATATTCAAACCGTTATATAATGCTTGCTCTAATACAATATTGATCTATGAAATAATTGTAAACATAAAAAAATTTAGTTTAGATTTTTAAAGTTCCATGATTGATTGATTTTTTGGTGTTGTGATAGAAAGGAGAATTTGTTGAATGTTTCAGATAATAGGCGAAAGTCAATAGATCGAATAACAAACGCATTTTGTTAAATATTTCTAGAAACATCTACGCAGAAAATATGTGCAAACAGATAACGTGGAAGCGTTAATTGGCAAATAACCAAAAACAACGGATCATACCACTAATGCAAAAAAAAAAAAAAAGAACAAAAAAGACGGCAACTCACGTGCTGCAGACACACGCCGAGTCATCAAAACAAAATAACAAATGCAGTTCTTCGCTATTGACACTGCAACACATAGCAGGGAAAAAACAACCGAAATAATTTCCACATAATTGTGAATACTAGTTTTATTTTTAGTTGCTAAGTTTATTTCGTGTAATTATGAAATTGATGAAGGCTCATGCTAAAGAATAGTAGAATTGTAGTAAAATGTGTGCCAAATATTTAGCGCTCCAATCGCAATAGAAACTTTCTTGCAAATATGCTAAATTCTAATAAAAACTGTTCGGCACCATTAAAAACGCATTTCTTTTATTATTTTCATGCAATATTGCTGTCATTAAAACATGTTTGTTTTTCTTCTAATGCGGTCTATTTAAATAGATTCGTTCACTGGTTTGTTAGTAAAGATTTGCACTAGAACTTCTTCGGCAATAACATGTTTATCATTTTCGTCGGTGATTCATGTTTGTTTATATTTTACGTACTTAAAGTGGACAATGATAATATATTTTTGGGCATTGTTTTGTTTACCGGGAAGTTGTGAAATAAGGGCTGTGTACCAATTAATTTGATTTCTATAAATAACTGACTTGTAAAAGAGCTTTAAGACATTTCTTTATGATGGATTATAAAACTCAAAGATATGCAGGTATCTGTTTACCATCGTATTTTTCTACAAATAGCTTAGATGTTGGTACTCCCTTTGGCCAAATAAAGAAAGACCTTCCTTAAAAACGCTTTGCTCTATAATCGCTGAAATACAGCCCAGTACCACACAAAGCTTGTTTTTTACAAGCAATTGATTTTGATCGTTCAGTTAGATACATATTTATGTGCTATAGTGCTCCGATATCGGCGGTGTCGACAAATGAGCAGCTTCTCGATTAGAAAGACGTGCTTAAAACTGCGAGATCGTTATCGCAAAAAACTAAGACGTTAATTCGCGTATATACAGACAGACGGACATGACTTTATCAACCCCTCTCACGACAGTCGGGTCTACGTAACCGGAACGAACTCGAATTTTTATCCGGCCAAGAACTCTCCAACCCAAAAGCAATTTTCCAAATTATTTCAGCAATATTTTTGCCGGTACAACAACAACAACTTCTGGGTGTTACAAACTTTGTAGCAAACTGAATATACCCTGTCCATGTTATAAAAATATTGGGTATACCATACAATACACATTATAAAAAGCAAATGCATTGTGTAAAATTATACCATCTAAATTTATATATTTCGCTCCCTAATGTTTTGTATAAGCAAACATGTTATTATACCAAATGGTCATTTGTTAAAATCGCGAAAAAATACTGTCCAAATTATGTGCCAATAAAATCTTCAAGACTTTTGTTCAAATTCACTATAAATCCAGCATAGCCATCTTGTGCAAACGTTCTGCGCGATCTTGCTCCGCTTCGACCTTCTCAATAACATTGAAAGCGCGTGCCATAACCGCTTCTATATCATTGGCGCCGCTTTCGGCAGCCGACGCATGTTTACGTTTTCGACTTACTAACGTTATGCTAGCACTGTTTACGCCATCATCATCACCATCGGTACAACTAACCACTTTCTCATCTGCACCGCCAACCGCACCCTCTAAATCATTATCGATTTCATCTAATTTTGATATGAAAGAGGCATCATACGAGCCAATTTGTTTTGCCAATTCGAACTGATAAATGCTAGCATCCAAATCACGTGATAACACCGTTGTATCCGCGTTGAGCGTTTGCTTTTTTATTGAATAAAAGTTTTGCTCCGCTTTGCGTGACACCGCTTCGGCTTGCTTTATAATTTCATCCAACATTTCGCTGTTCATCACAGCGGGTTCATCGACTGACTCCCTATCTTGCGAGCTGGTATCTTCTGCTTCAACCATTGTATAATCCATTTTCACTGCTTCAACAGCTTCGTTATTCAACCACCATGGCATAAGTTGATAATCTTCCAGCGCTTGTTGATGATAAACAATCTCGTTGGGCAATTTGTAAGAGTCCGCGTCTGGATTTGCAATGTAATCCTTAAGCACAGCGTTAATCAGTGTGTAGGCAATTGCTTTTATAATAGATAAATAATTAATTAGCTGAAAGCGTGTTGGTATAGCGACATCCTCCAAGTCAACGCGATTCAGTTGTTCAATGAGTGCTTTGATGGCTTGATAGCTAGCCAAAGTGGCAGCTTCTTCATCGTGCGGTAAACATGCGCTCGCATAGTTTAACAACCACAGCTCCCAATCTTCCACGTCCTTGAAGTTAGGTGCGTCTGTGACGGGTGCCAGTAATAAACGTTGTAGAAACTGTGAAATCTGTTGTTGGCGCTGTGGAGACTTCCAGTCTTTGGGAAAATATTCCAAGCCAAGCGGTATGTCCACATTTAGCTTGGGTACAAATTTACGCAATTCATCGGGAAACTCTGGCGTGTCACTGAAATCAACTGTGGTCATATGTATCACACGTTGCACCGCCTCATTATACAAATCCACCAAATATTGTGGCGTGCTACAGATTTTCGCGAATGAGGGATTTTGTTCGGAGGAGAATTGCCAACGTTGCCACATTTCCTCGCCCAAACACGATTCCAGCCAACTCTGCAGCCTTTGCATCTGCAAAACATCGGCTTCTTTGTTGGATAATCGATTCTCACGCGTCACAAAACGCAGAGCGCGCCCCATAAGATGGACGAAAGAGAATTCATTTTTTGTCTGCAAACAACCAAAGAATTTGTACGCCGACACTTGACCTGCACTCACTAAACTCTCCATTTCCAACGTATCACTAAGCTCCAATTCATCCGTGTACTGTCCATCGTAGATGACAAAAGCCACCGGCACAGCCTTATGCATTCGGCTTAGTTTGAGCAAATGGTGTATGCGTTTGCGCGTGCTCTGTATGTTGTCACAGACCATGAAGCAGATAATCGCATCCATGTTGTCACATTCGTTGCGAACGACTTGACCGCTCTCGTTTAGCGGCGGTATACCGCTCACTTTTCTCACACACAACGCCACATCGCGCTCCACACCGCAAATGTATGGACTCGTCTGTTCAGCATCTTTACACTGTGCTTCTTTTTCCACCACTTGCACCTCCTCCGTGACGTTGTTGTTGCGTCGCAAATGTTTCTGAAGCCATTTGTTGCATAAACTCTCGAAGCCGGGCAACTCATCTCTGTCATTGGGCAGCGTAAGCAGCAGCTTAAAATACTTATTTTGTTGCATATGTCCGCCTTTCACCACTACACTCTGCTTGTGCGTCAAATGTGCACGCACCACCTCGAATATGTCAACGGTGGCATGAGGTCGTGATAGGGTCTCGGGATGTTGCCACAGCAGTAGCTCGAAATTGCATGGCTCTCCGTGACGATAGCGTTTGATCATACGTAAATTTTCCGCCTCTTTTGGATGCATCAACTTGGCGGTTTGCTCGGCACGCGTGTCCATTGTCACCCATATGGGTGTGGACTCCATGAGTGCGCGCTGTTTTTGCTTTTTCCGTGTGTAGCGCAGCCAACGTTCAAAGTAACGACTCAGCATGAGCTGATCATGGCACATCATGGCATATTCTTCGTTAGCCAACTGCTCCAGTTGCATGGCTATGCATTGTTCAAGCAATGTTTCAGCTATACTTTGACAATCGCATTCGAACTTTTGATATTTTAGCAGTTCAGTTTGTGCAATATTTTTCACTTGCGCTGCGATGATGCTCTCCACTTCAGCGGCACAAACCTGCTCGGCCCGTTGTTCCAACTGCCTTAAGTTATCCAGCCGCTTTTGCTCCAATGCTTCGCGCTGTCGTTTTGCTGCTTCTGCGGCCTCCTCCTCATTGCGCCGCTTTTCCAACTCTGCTTTGGCTTTAGCAGCTGCTGCTTTGGCTTCAGCCTCAGCTAACTGTTTGACTGTCTGCCTACCGGGCGACGGTGGCGTTGTCACAAATGGTTTCGGGGGAGTGTCATGGAAGGGCTGTGGCGCATCTGCAAAACCAGCGAAATCTGGCTTTATGTTGAAATGCTGGAAAACGGTGTCATTTTGCAAGGGTTCTGGCTTTGGTGCCTGCGCTTGCTGAAAAATGCTTGTAGTCGCTTTTGCTGCGCTACCAAATATGTTATCGGCATTCGTATTCTTATTGACAGTGTCGAATATAAAACCGCCAGTAGAGGCTGACGCTGTCGCAGTTGTTGCTGCATTTCCACCAAATATAGAATTGCTGATGCCAGCGGCGAACGAACTGGCCGGTTTAGCAGTAGCGGCAGGTGTTTTGAAGAGCGAGCTGCTAACATCGTTTGCTGGCGCGCCGAATATGTTAGCACTACTACTACTACCGCTTGAGTTTTGTGGTGCTTCAAATTTGAAATTTGTCAAGGCTGATGATTGTGCTTTTGGCTTAGATTCGGCAAACTGACTACCACTAAAAATAGACGGCTCGGAGTGTTTTTGTGGCAGCTGTGGAGTCTTAAATTTCGATGGAAATTTGGGTGAAATGGACGACGCGAGTTGTGGCACTTTAAAGAGACTTGTGTCTGCGGCAACAGAAAGTGGTTGTGTGAGGGCAGGAGAGTCGGGACGTTTCGGTATTTTTAATGTTTCCTGTGGATACTGCTGTTGTTGTTGCCGCTGCTGTTGTTGCTGCTTCTCTTGCTGTTGCTGCATTTCTAATTCACGTTCCTTTCTGCGTGCTTCTGCCGCCTCTCCACGCAATTGATCTTCCGCCGTCCAGGCAATTGATTTAAGATTACCATTGTCATCGAAACTGTTATGTGGTGTATGACTTTCGAATATATGTACAGGTTCAAGCGTATGCCCACAAACGCACTCACCAACGCTAACAGTACGCTTCGACTCGACCAGCTAGAGGAAAAAAGAAATCTAATGTTTTCTCATATTTTTAAACACGACTCAAACTCACATTCAATGCACGCTCCATGGAGTACTCCACATCTGGTCGCTTGAGGCGATCCAACACTACACGTTGACCATCGCATTTTAAGCCGTGATATGCGAAATATTGCGCCGCCGCTTCTTCGTCTTCAAATCCAAGTATACGCGTTAGATATGTTAGCGGTAGGAGAATAGCATTTTTTCGCCAATTGTGCGATTTATTAATGGCCTCCATAGCACGCCAACGCAATTTATTGAAGTAGCCAAGCAGAATGCATGCGCTCAAATATGACGTTTCCACTTCGCGTATCATACTGAAGAAGCGTACGTAGTTGTTGTTTTGTAGGGCATTGTAAAAAGCAATTGCACGCTTAATTTCACTTGAATGTTGTATATGTGTGGGCAGTTGCTTCAACTCCCATAGAAAATTAGAGTCACCTAAATTCAGCAAGACTATGTAGCTGCGAAATTCGGCCTCACATGGGCAATGTACACCCTTGATACGCAAGTCATGATACATGTATTTAAGGGATTGCAAACATTTTGTCAAATTTTCAGCATTGATTTTTTTATCGAACACTGACGGCTCTTCGGCCACTAGACGCGCGGCACAGTGTATATGAAAGCGCGCACATTGTTCAACCAATTCTACCGTACCTAATGAGCAAAGTTCCTGTTGTGTGATATCTTTGCGAATGGAACGGGTGCGATCCCATACAAAGTGAAACCAGTCGGCGATTGAAGTTTGTGGATCCTCACAGAGGTCCAAAATGCGGTGCATCAGGTACAGCATGGTCATTTGTAGCACGCTTTCGGGTCGTAATTCATGTGCCAGTGGCACTTCTTGATCAGCGCTACTGCGCGAATACTCTTTGATGGCACGTCGATGTGATATAGAGGATGTGCTTTCCTCATCTTCCGCACACATTTCAAATGTGGAAACTTGTCTTTGGAATTCCCGCATTAAACGCTCTTTTTCGGGACACATGTCAGGACAAATACCTAAGACAAAATATGCATACAATATAAATACAAAATTTTTCTGCTATGCACTTTTATTCACCTTTAGTTCTTTCAACTTTTTTGATATCTGTTTGTCGTGGCCTTATCAAACGCATCAATTTGTCACGCGCATCCAAAACACGATATTTTTCTTCGTCGGTGTAAGCAGGCCTTCGTAAAATGGCTTCATATTCTTGTCTCAACGAATTGTCAATTTTTGGTAATTCCGTTGCCGAAGCAGACTTTGGGGGTTTTACACCCGCATTTGCAAATTGTGAAGGTGGTTTTTGTGTACGTGGTGGCATTGACTTCATCGGTGGTAACATTGCCGTAGCTGGCGGTCTGTATGTAGGTACAGTTTGACGCAAACCCATTGCGTCCAATTCAGCTTGTACTTCGGGATTAACCCATTCTTCTGTATTTTGTACATGTGCTACCTCACGGGTTGCAAATTCTATTTGAAATTCTTGCCCATTGAAATCTCCGGCCTGATCCAATGCGCGCTCAGCTTGTGCTTCCGTCTCATATTCCACCGTACAACTTTGGCGACTTGGACGTAATATAAAACGTGCGATTTTTCCAAATTTACTAAAGTGATTTTTGGCAACCAATTTGTCCAAAAAAAGATCAGGTATTTTTTCACATCTATTGATACAGAAGTTTAGAAAATTTTCACTACTACCGGTTTCAGAGTATACTTACGATATGGCTTTGTAATTGATGCCGTCATCCCAACCGGTTCCCTCGTCGCCCAACATGACGTCGTGCAAATTTAAGTTTTAATTCGCCCAAAACACTTATAACAAACAATAATTTTAATAGAATAAGTCAAACAACTTGTAAAATATAAAATGTATAATTTTCTGGGAAATTATAGAAGCCGCGATCGCGCAAAATTTGTATGTCAATGACAGCTGTTTGAATATCACAGAGTGTTGTGGGAAATTAATAAGGGGTTACACTACCCAATTTTAAATTATTGCGGTGAAGCATTCAATACATATTTGTTTGTCAATACATAATAATAAAATTAAAAACATACAAATAAATTATTTCATATATTTATTATAAAATAATTCGTCCGTCCTATATTTTTCTACAAATTTGAATAACCTTCTTCCTTCTGTGTTATCAATTTTTTTTAAATAAATGTGAATTGGCAACTTTGTGGAAACTCTAAAAACAATAGAAATCGTTTGCTGGTTGTACATTTTTATTGAATATCAATGGTAATATTTTAGAGCGAAATCTTATTTTTTAAATGAATAATAATGGAAATTGCTGCTGCCGAGAAACAAAATGAGTCGGACAGACATAAAACTAAGAAAAAAACAAACAAAAAGCAGTCAAAACCGCCAGTAGCTGAAGCCGCAGGTGATCATGCCGGTGGACAAAAAAGTCACAGGAAGCGTAAAAGACATCATTTCAATGCAATACGCGCACAAATGGAGTTTTACTTTGGTGATGCGAATCTTTCCAAGGATCGATATCTTAAACAGCTTATGGACAAAGATCCATGTTAGTATATATTATGCAAATATTATCATACGCCTAATATACTTTCCACCTTTTGGTTTGATCACACAGATGTACCTTTGGATATTTTTCTAAGTTTCAACAAAATGAAAGCGCTTACATCTTCAGTGGAGGAAATCAAAAAGTCCTTAACAAACTCAGAACTACTTGAATTGGATGAAAATAATTCAAGAGTTAGACGCAAGACAGCTTTGCCGGTAGAACGTAATGTCGACGACAAGACACTATATGTTGAGGCTTTACCAGCTGCAGCTGATCACGATTGGGTGCGTCAGGCGTTTGAACGATTTGGTGCAGTCGTTTATGTCTCACTACCCAAATATGCCAAATCACGGAAAATCAAAGAATTTGGTTTCGTCGAATTCGAGCAGGCGAGCAGTGTGGACAAAGCGATTAAGGCTTTCAGCGAATTCAACGGTGTATTAAGGACGCAAGAAACTGATCCTGCAGAATTGCAAAGTGTGAAATCATTTATCAAAGAGAAAAATGAAGAAGAAGTAGATGCGAATAATGTATCCGATACCGAACATAAAAAGATTAAGAAATTGAAAAGGGTTGCCGATGAAACGTCGGAAGAAGAAGGACCTGAATCGAAGAAAGTAAAAACAGAAAACGAGGAAAACTCCACGGCAAACGAAACTGGAGAGACTTCAAATGATGATACCGAGGATCAAGCAGATGACGATGGAGATGTCAAGAAGAAGAAACGCCGCAAAAAAAAGAAAAAGGCGAAAACTTTAGAAAAACGTCGTAAAGATACAGACTTGAATACAGATGCATCTTTTTATGAGCTAAAAGTTTTGCCGAAATGTGATTGGAAACGTTTACGTAATAAATACCTCAACTTGCAACGCGAAAAGGTAGCTGAATTGAAACGCAAAGCATGGAAGGAAAAGCAGCAACAACGTGTTAGTGAAGGCGTTTCTGCCGAAACATCGGATGCCTCAGCACCCACGCCAGCTAAGAAACCAAAACCCAACGAACGAAAGTTGCGCAAAATGAATATGAATTTTTATGGCGCGGGTGAGGAAGATGCCAAACCACAACCCAAAGAGTTGAAGCACAATCCAGCTTTAGAACGAGCGCCGCTCTTTAGCTATTCGGAAGGTCTAATAGTTGAAGTAGGTTTCTTAAATCCTTGTGTCAACATAAAGGAATTTAAGACTGATATGCGTCAATATGAAACTGTAAAGTATGTTGACGTTAAGGAAGGTGCCATGCATGCACATCTACGTTTGGACACAGCGGATGCGGCAACTGATTTCGTGCGCCAGTTGACTTGTGCGGAATATAACTGCAAAGTACTAAACGGCGAAGCTGAGTTGGAATATTGGAAAAAGATTGAGGCCGACAGAGAAATGAAATTGAATAAACAAGTAAAAATACCACAGAAGAGAGGTAGAGAAAAAGTTAAGAAATTAATTACAAAACATATACGTTTCGGAGAAGATGATGAATAATTAACACAGTCAATGTGTTTTATTAAAATACAATTTTTATTTGAATGAAATATCTAAGAAAATAATCATATATGCTTACATTACTAAATTTTACAGTCTGTTTGAAATTACAATGGTTTTTTTTTTTAACCTTACAACTTTTACTATATGTATAACGAACCATCAGCCGGCCCTAAATAATGTAACGATATGAGAATAACGTCTATAATAGTCCAAACACCTAAACCACCAAAACTGAATAGTTTGCCGATACCTTCTTGCCAGTGGCCAAGATAAAAACGGTCCGCACCAAAGCCTCCTAACGTAATACTGATTATAAGTGCGGTGCTCCAACGATACCCCTGAGTCCAATTACACTTAATATTACGGGTAAACGAACGATTGCCAAGACAAAACACATCGGAATGAACTGTGCAATTGGTGCGATAAAAGTAACCATTCACAGAATTACAATTTCCACGCAGTGCACACGATTGTTGCCATAAATTAGTTTGGTAGCAATAACGACAATTCATTTGTTGTACGAATGTCCGATTGCCTTGACATTGCACGTGGTCCAATGCCGTACAAGTCACGTTAATGTCTCGACCATAATGGCAAGAGTAATTATAATTACAGCGTATGCAAGGAAAAGGTAGTGTTGAACACTCGCTTTCAGGACCGCCTGGACAGGATACATTCGTGTCATTTATGCTTTTGATTGTGAGTGGTATAGCGTCATTGTTGTTGGTAACATTTTTCGATTGACCTTCCAACTTGGTCTCAGTTTCCATTAGATTGCCACCCGCGGTTTGGCTCTGTCTTATGCCACTAAATATGAAAATCATAATCAGCGCCAGGGCGGATCGCATGTTAATAACTATGCAACGTCTGTGACGCATTTCCTTTGCAATAGAACAATAATTATTTTAAACTAAATGTTTTGCACTGATTAATAAACAAACGATAAACAGCTGGTAAACGAAGCAGCGGAGTGCGAACTGTCATTTTTACTGTTATTGTACAGGGGACTTCGTGAATATCATTTGTAACAATATTTTTTCAACGAAATTTATAATTTTGTTAACGAAATAAAAGTGCAATTTGCAAAACAAAGCCTATAAATTCCTTGTTTCTAAGCCATTTAGAATTTCCAACTTTTTAATTTTTTTTTTAAATCATGCAATTCTTTGCAACATTAAGGGTCAGCTGTCAACACCGGCTACTTCAAGCTAAAAACAGCTGACATTTTTATTTTATGTAAACAAAGGATCACTTTTCTATATTGGTAGAATTTAAAAAAATATTCAATAGAATGGTCAAAGTTGATGTTGAGTATTGGTAAATAGAAAATATTCAAATATAAAATAAAAGATATAATTATACAACCATAATGCTTTTAGTCCGAAATGCAATTTCGAGTGGCAATGTAAAATGCTCCAAAATTTTCTACTACAACAACAACCAAATGCGGAAGTCGTATGTTCTAAAGGACGTCAGGGGTCATTTGAAGTAAAAATAGATGATACCTTGGTACATTCCAAATTGCAGTCGTTTGCATTTCCTGATCACGAAAGTGTTTTGGAAAATGTACGACGTGCAGAAAAGGGACTTCCAATAGAAAAGGTTAACGAGCAACCAATTGACAATTGTATGTTGATGTGATAGCAAAAATGCAATCGACGCAGTGACTTGAAAACTCCTGAGTACGCTGTAATTTTCCAATCCCATGCGTTTAAAATTATAAATGAGCAAAGCTAGCATACCTTGGCATATGAAACTTAAATAGAAGGTATGAAATAAAAAATATAATTAACATTTTTTAAATGCCAATAATCACATAAAAATTTGTCTTATTTTATAAATAAATCTATTTGTATGGAAAATCTTAACAAAATTAGCACTGCGATGGGCAAATCGATACAAGTTGATGTGGAACATTGGTGAGCGCTACATTAGATCATTTTAAATTTGTGGTTCATCATACAATTTTCGTTTAGTGGTTTATGTGCAGCGCATGCGCGCCAGTGCAGATCTCTGCAGAAATATATAATGAACGAACAGCCTGATACGGACCTTGTATGCCGAGCAGGTCGACGTGGTTCTTTTGAAGTGGTCATAAACGGCATGTTGGTACATTCAAAATTGCAGACACAGGCCTTCCCATCACAGGATGATATACTGCAGAGAGTAAAAAATGTGCAAGCAGGTTTGCCCCCCAATTATATAAAAGCAGAAAATATCTGTACGCTAATGTGAAAATCCGCTTCCGTATATACAAAAATACTTTTCCTATAATTTAGTCGACAAATGTATTTGTGAATTTTTTATTTTTACAATTTTTGTGATGCACATTTTGTGAATATTTCAATTAAAGACTAATACTTTTTAAAACTTTGTGTATATATACTTATATAAGTATAAATATTACTTATGGCATTATATACTGGCAAATTCTTGTAATTACTGGCATGTTTATGTTAATTTGAAACTGTTGCATTTTTCATTTAGTTTAGTTGAGGCGAAATTGTAATTGCTGTTACATACTGCAATTTTTACAATTTATTGTTCCGCTCTATGCTTTTTAATCCTCACTTCTGCGCTGCAAGAAACCACCGAATTTTCCGCTTGTGGTTTCTTAAGTGATAAATAAATACCAAAACGTATTTTTCCACTAAACTCACGCGCAATTGTGCGCAGTGGCTCATTAGTCTTCTGTCCATTATGTTGATCAATGCAAATCATTTGGCAACGCGTACAAAAACCTTCCGCTTTGAAATCGACATCACCAATGCTGATTTCCTCAAATGAATTTTCCTCAAAGGGGCTGGCAGTTTCCAATATAAAATTCCCACGAAAACGATCAACGGTATAATCAAGCGGTTCTTTCTCCGTTTCCACTTTATTTGCTAACCAACGTACCGAAGCGCGATTAACGAGCAAAAATTGCGCTTGATTAGCCAGGCTAATATCCTTTGAGGCACCATCTTGTGTACGGCGTTCGGCATTTTGACGCACTAAACGCAAACCACTGGTTTCTAAGCAGTCAGATAACCATTTACCCACTTCCTCACCACAATCTAGCCCTTCCACTAAATCATTACACACTTTACTTTGACAGAACGTTGACTCGACGCGTTTAGTTTCATCTACAGCGTTCATTTTTAACGGCAACTGTACTGCTGCCATGCCGGGAAAATGTAACTCTAAAATCTCCTCCTTTAACTTCACTAACGGTCTTATTAGACATAACCTTGTAAAATGCTTTTGTGTAATAGCCATGCCGTTGACATCGACAATCATCCAAGCGCGATCATATTTAAAACCACTATTTGTAAGTGGCCATGCGCTTGTAATGTCTAAAGCACCACATGACTTAATCGGATAGATACAAATGCGTTTCAACTGCGGTTTCAAGCGTTGCGGCACATGACGTAACACTTCCGGCAGTTTTACGCTTTCCATGATACGTAGACGATTCGCTGCCGTAGTTAGATAGCAATCTCGTATCATCGCCACTGCTTTGTCCACATCACTTGCACGCGTCATATAACCGAAAGACATGCGCACAGCACCGGTCGGCAAGCCATCGACCAGATCAGTGAAATCACTGCAAACATGACCCGCCTCGTAATGTTTGCGTATATCGGCATTCGATAAGTGCAAAAACCTTTGACATGCACCTGGATTACAGAAACACCCAGTGCGTATTTGTACATTATGGACCGCAGCGATGCAGCTCACTTCGGCGAAACCGACATATGTGCCATCATCGTGTAATACATTGAATGTGACGATGCAGCCTTGCAGCGTTATATCCTCATAACCGTTATGGTTGTAAAACTTTATTAGCGGTGCACCGTTGGTGTGACGTAACGCGGCGAGTGAATCATGACCGTATTTGGCTAGCGCATACACGTGTGCGCTAATACGCTGCACCGGCAGTTGCTTTGCTGTTGCAGGCACCAGCCGCTCCAGCATGCGAAAGCCTTCAAGTAACGCAGTGATGGTGAGGAAAGGCAAAGTACCATCTTCGAAGCGTGTTGTAAAGTTTGGGCGCTTTTCGTGGAAATTTTGCCGTGTCATTGCTATATTCACAGTGCCGCCACCATAGTAACGCTTTTGCAGCACAGTTTGACCTCGTCTGCTCACCAATAACGCACCGACGCCCGTAGGGAAACTGTTTAGTTTGAAAAAAATGCGTAATTTTATTATTGGTCTTCAAGCAATATCAGCAAAATTTCTCTTACCCAAACATTTTATAAAATGAAATACAACAAAAATCAGGCTTATATTTTCGCAGATCTAGAAAATTAGTGGCTACGTAGGATGCTGTGTCCAGACATATGTAAAAATTACTCTCTGGTGCTTCTTTTCCATTTGCCTCGTCACCAACATTTGTGCCATGCTCTACTAAACCATATTTTTGAATGGCTGCGATAGTAGCCAGTGGCATTTTATAGCCACTAAAGTTGCATTGCGCCGAATAAGCAACTAGCGAATTAGTCTTCAACTCACTTCTACCATTAGAGCTGGTTTCAGCTTCGAAACCATTTTTATCAATACCATTAGTATGCTTTAGATTTTCCACTATTTCGTCTTTCGTTAGAACATACAGCCGCTTGGTGCGCACTACCTCACGCATTCCCAAAACCGAGGTGTGATTTTCTTGGCAGTAGTAAAATGCACCCGCATTATTGGCTTCTTCACCGAAATTAAAGCATTCGCCAACCAATTTTAACGCCGCAGTGGCATTAGCGGTAAATATCACCGCATATTCCGTTGCGTCTGTGTTAAAATGCTGTAGTACACTAAAAGAAACCACTTATTAGTGCTTTTGATTGACATAAGATGACAAAAACAAAAAAAATGTACAAACCGATAGCGTGCCTGATCTATGAGATCACCGGTTACTTTGCAAGTATGTGGGTTACAAAATAAATTCTCTTTAAGCACCTGGCCAGACGCGTCGATTAAGCTACTAGGATAGAGAGTAGTTCCAGCATGATCTAGATATACGTTATCTATAAGGAAAGAGATTAATTAATTAATATTTTATTATTGATTGTAATTCTGCAAAAAAAAATTTTTATTATTTAAATATGTGATGATTTGAACTTGATTTAAAATAGAAAATAACAAGTATTCTAATCTTTAGCAAAAAAAAAAAAAAAAATAATAATAATAATAATAAAAAAAACCCCAAATAACTAGTATTATCTGCCATTACAAATTTACGAGTTCTTTTATGTGTTTATGTAATTAAACAAGCGATTTTCTAACGAATTTCCATGCAATTGCTTTACAACAATTAATGCACCAAGGTGTCATTCATAAAATTAAAACATGTGATTTTACTATCTTTTTTTCAAATACTTTACATTTGAAGCATTCGCAAACGTAATGCATTTTTTTTAAATTCATTAATTTCGAAAGATAAGAAACTTTGGAAAATGTAAATAATTAATGCATAAGCCCTATATACAAGTATCTTCACGAATTCTGCTCAAATTCTTATCTCTTACCACTTGATAGTTGATAGGTAATTGATAAGCTATTTCGCAATAACAAATATTTTTATATTTACAATATAAACAAATAATTTAAGTTAGTTACTTATTTTATACCGCATATTAAATAAAAAAATTATAATTAAACAAACAGCGAAATATGAATAAATTATTTATTTTCCTTCTAAAATAACGGTATTCATATGTATGTAGGGAACTTGCTTTTTATGCGCTGAAATTCACTTTCGATAGCATCTGCTTCAGCCTGTGTAAATACATTTTGAAATTCTGGCATTTTATATATGTATACTGGCCCCTTGTTATAATTATTACTTCGGCGCGATTAATTTTTTTGTTTCTGTTTTGAGCGTCACGCAATCTATTGACAATTAAGTAGCAATGCCGTCACTCTATTGATGTTTCATTCGTAGCTCACTGTTCACTATGCAGACCAAATCAACCGGTTTCAACAAATATTAAAACATAACTAAACCAATTATTTGTGTGAATCAATTTAACACCGAGCAAGTGCTTCGTTCCTGTGCCGCACTAGTTACATTTATTTAATTGCATCTTGTTGAGAATGTGGGTATTATGATCTCCTCTACCGTGATTATGATATACAATAACAAAATGGACTCAGAGATTATGGATTACTGACGTGTTAACTTTTTATCCTTACGCTTAACCTATTTACTTCTCTTTGTTTGCAAGAATAGCGAAACCATCAGCTGTTAAAATGTAAACAAATCCACAGCTGAAATAGATCTATGCATGGAATACCCTCCACCATAGTTTGCAGATTGGTTAGGACATATAAAAATGTGTACTAAAAATACACATATAAGTAATATAAAATTAATTAATACAAATGAAATTAATATTAATGCCGAAATTAATTTTTAAAATTTATATATGTATACTAAATAGACATTTTTCATATTTGTTCAAAACATGTGTTTAATTAAATTCGTTTTTAAGATCAGCTGTAGTGTCTAACTGCATCTTAAGTAATGCAAGGTTTTAGAAATATCGATAAAAACCATACTATCGGAAAAAGTTATCAACCGCATCAATTTTTTTTATCATTCCTGTTTCTCCACATATTCAATATTGTGAAATTTAAAAAAATTTAAACTGAAATAATTAATCAAGTAAAAATGGATAAGTGGATACGTGAACGTTTGACAAACTGTCTGGATTTCGAAGTGCCAGATGATATGATCAAGTAAACATAATTCACTATTCAATTTTGCTATTTGTTAACGATGTCTTGCAAATTTTTAAGATACATTTTGTCAATGAAATCATCAACAGAGTTCGATGAGTACTTTGAAACACTACTTAATTCAGAATGTGAAGATCATCGGTCATTTATGATGGATTGTAAGCAACGGCTTTTTAGCAAACCGTTGCACTATAAACGTTTGCCACAAACTAGTAATAACCAACAACAGAAACAAGCAAAATCTACTCAAAACACCGCACAAAATAAACAGAATCAAAATACTTTGGCGCTGGACGGCAAATTTGGTAAACAACAGCAACAGTCACAAGGTGCTAAGAAGAAATCCAAATATGTCAATTTATACACTAGCGATGGCAGTGTTAGTGGGGAAGTGATAATGCTAAAAGGACGACGACTCTGTGATTGTCAGGCCTCTCAGCACAAGTTAATCAATAACTGTTTGGGTTGTGGCCGCATAGTTTGTGAGCAAGAAGGTAGTGGACCATGCTTGTTTTGTGGTGATATGGTTTGTACCAACGATGAAATGCAAATAATGAAAAGTGATTCCAAGAAAGGACAGAATTTGTTGAAATCATTGAAAGAGAAAGGTGGTGGAGAATCATTGAAAAA